AAATAGGGTGATGAAGAACGGGTAAGGGAGGAAGACGCGTCTTGGGAGGGCGTCAGTAGGAGCTCTAAGAGGCGGGTAAAGGGGTATACATGCCTTAGACGTTGAGTAACCTTTGGGCGAGGGGTACCGAAGACGATTGTGTTTATATTGGTGGAATTGGTAGAATTGGTAGAATGGTGGAAGAAGAATGGTTACACAAACAGGTGGAAGGATTATTATCCGATCCCGGACGCGTCTGGTGTGACTACCATGACTACCATATTTGAATGTCCATTTAATCCACCAATAGTAGGCCAAACTTCATAATTTTTACAGCGTTAGAAAGCGCAAAGCGAGCTCTACAATTTGAGAAATTATGAAGTAACTGTATGTATCGCAAGCTGAGTACTTCAAAGTGTAAAACTTCTACATACAAATTTTTGATAAGGGAGGCGCGGGAGGGCTACCGGGCTGACTCAGCCGGTCTAACCAAAAAGCGTACAGGACCCGAATTGATGATTGGCTGCACATACAAATTCAAGGTTTTCAAGCTCAGCCCTACCTTATCAGTATATATAAAAGAATAAGGTAGGGCTGAACTAGAAAACCTTGAATTTGTATGTGCAGCCAATCATCAATTCGTCAGGTCTACGCTTTTTGGTTAGACACCGCGGGTAAACAAATTAGCGTCCGCAACCATCAAAATCTCGCCCTCCCGCGCCTCCCTCATCAAAAAAATAGGTGTACATTATTGACATATAGAATAACTTTTTTGTTTTCTATTAAAATTTTGAGATTTTTTTTTTAAAATTTTGAAACGCTGTTTGTGCTTTCCGAATTTTTAAGAATTTTGAAATTTAGTCTTATAATTATTAAAGCGCAAGGAATTCAAATATCGCTCACCAAAGTTCGCTCGACAGCCGGACAGCCCGCTCACCAAAGTTCGCTCACCAAAGATCGCTCACCTACTTACTCGATAGCCCTAATCAAAAAAATGATTATGAATTTAATTCATAGGCCTTTACTCGTTCTGTTATATATACGGAGGTCGGCACCAAAAGTCCTGGACATGCCAAGACAAGGGTCCAGGTAGGGCTGAGTGCTTGGCATACTTCCAAATTTCATGGATAGCATCATTATTCTTTATTTTAATGAGTACTAATACTCTATATAATAGCGACGTAGTGTATATATACGAAGTGCATATATACGAAGTATAAATATGCGAAGTATATATATAATAGCGATATTAATAGAATATATAATAGCGATTAGCTGTTACGGATTTAGTGTGCTTTAGAGGATTCTTGCTGTTCAGGCAGGGGTCCACGCTCTTTTAGCGCTGCGGTTAGCGATAAGGCACGTTTTCCCGTGACATTAGCAATAATATTAAAGTATTAATTATAGCGTAAAGAAATAGAGAAAGAGTATAAAGACTTCTAATATATAAGTCTTATTTATATAGTATAATAAATAGAAATCTTCTTACTATTCTCTATCTTAATTATCTTTTATTAATATATTTAATACTTAAAGTATTAATTATAATAATAAAACTCGAATTTAAATACTTATTAAGTCTTATTAATTATAAATAAAACGTTATACTACTTAAAAAGATATATTAAGAACTTATAAGAAAGTCGAAAGATAATAACTATATTATTAAAATTATAAGCTTATTTAAAAGAAGATTTAGAAGTAAATAAAGTAAATATCGAGATATATTACGAAGGTAATACGTCTTAAAGATAATAACGAGTATAGAAAAGATCGTAGAGGAGGTAATATACGATTATACGACTCCGCCGAGCGAGCTAATAAGTATATACGCAATTATATAAAGTATTATCGTTAAATAAATGTAACTATATAGAAAGTGCCAAGAATGCCAAGAGTGCCAAGTATTTTAGCGCTGTCTAGAACTTTTAGTGTCGACCTCCGTACTAATATAGTCTATCTAAGGTATCCCTTTCCTTGTGCTCGGGATGGACACGCTAGTAGGGGGGGGATCAAAGTAATTCCGGCCGTCTTGGCATCATTTTTCGCCACTTTGCGCGGAGAAGATTTGCGCCCCCAAATTAGAAGAGTAGCTGTCTATATATCAACCACCCTCTATATATACAAAAATACACCAAAACTGGGTCGAAGGAATAGGCTATGTCGCTCACATCGATTGCGCCACCAACTTATTTCTCGCTGTACCAAAATTTTGTCAAATTCGAGCCCCCTTGCCCACCAAAGCCACTTGCAACTCTTCCATTCAGGGCCGCACAATCGATTCGCCTTCAGCGTCGTCAATGGCACGTAAGAAGCATTACGTCATATGGCTGCTCTGGCTGTCAGGTCGCTTTATGTATGATAGAAGGCAAGGATTGTTGGGAGCGGTGGCATGGGCAAGCATAGCCCTGAAGCAAGCTCATAGCCGTAGCAAGCACACATAGTCACATAGAAGCATACATGAAACCAGCATGCGGTTCGGTTGTTCTTCGGACATAGCTGTTTTCGAGCTCATTTGGTAGCTACATAATCGTACTTCTTTCACCATTCTTCTTCCACATGTCAACTGTCTACCGCCCACCAAGCCACCTCCTCACCTTCACCTCCTTCCTGTCAGTCACCGGCTACCTCTACCACCTTTCTCTTCCTATACAGCATCATTCAGAGTCACCACAGGCAGCATGGGCTGACAAGAGGTGGTTCTGGAGCTACATCATGATCATGGACCTTCCGCCTCACCGCATCCTACCACCTCACCACCGCATCCTACCACCTCACCACCTTCTACTGGGTCAGTCTCGCGTGCTAAGATCTGGCAATAAGTCGTAAAATGAGGTGTTTCTGGCACGGTTCAGCCCTCCAATTGCGCAATGTCCAGGGAGTACAGTCATAGTACACCATTTGCCCATGTGCCCGATCTTCTTGAGAATTTTTTTTGATGACCCAACACCTAGAGGTTCTGCTCAATTTTCGACAATTTTTGGTGAGGAATGCACCTATTGTAGATCGTATTTGAGCTGGCATTATCGATTTCTGAGAACGATTTTTTTCTTTTAGATCATTACGGCTACTCTGCTCAGAGCGCAACATTACTTGGTGAGGATTGCACCAAATGGTGATGGGATCTGCGCCAGACGTTGGATTTGACCAATCAATAGCCCTGTCCAAAGAACCCTACTAGCGTGTCCATCCCGAGCACAAGGAAAGGGATAACGATATATCGTTTCATGAAGATAGTATCGTTATAATTAAATTATCGTTAAGCCTAGATTTATACTAATTACTACTGAAATACGTCTAAATCGATGTCTGCTTTTGCGTAGAAGCCTTACGAGCCCTAATCTCTCTCTCATATCGATTTAGACGTGTGATTAGTATATTATCGCCGTTATTTTATTATTTCTCGTATAATTATAGACGTTTTAGTAGCTTTAGAGCCTCTGAATCCTTTAAGAACCAGGTCTAAAGCGTTTATATCTTACGCTTATTATTTAATCTAGTCGTATTATATAGACGTAGATCTCGTTATTTAGCGTTAATAACTACTCGACGTCGTTTTCGAGTAGAATTAGGCGGTGGGGGGAGATAGATACCCTGAAATTACTGAAATTCTATTTTAATAGCGGCGACGATGGCGAGGATATATTATTTAAAGCTATTAAATATAACGATATTACTAAATTTACTAGATAAATACTAACGATATCGTAGTAGATAAGTTATCGTTATTCTATATTAAAAATAATTATTATATAATTATATAATCGTTATAACTAGAATATCGTTATATAACGAATCGTTATAGTTTAGATAGACTATATTACCTCGTGAGGTAGTAAGTTACACCCTCGGGCACTAAGTCTAATATGATATAAATCCTACATAAACACCGACTTTCGACGCTACTCCTCGATCTTCACACTAAGGGCCAGCTAAGCGAGCGGAGAAGATCTTATCATGTAGCTATATAGATACATGATAAATGAAGCGATTTATCTACAAATTCAGGTACCACTGTAGTAACCTATTCTGATCCTCTATGCAAATTATCTAAATCAGAGGTAACCCATTTAGCCCGGGGAAAAACACTCAATATCATGACTTTTGGCCTACATTTGGCCTACAATTAATCGCTTCTGATAGCGGACGCTTCTCATAGGCCGCTTTCTGGTCTTTAGTTTACTTGATATCGTCCGAGGGTCCTTCAATCTCATACTCATCGACGCGCATAGTGTAGGAAGACGTTTATATAGAATTGTGTGGATATTATGGTTGACAGTAGGGGAAGAATAATGGAATGCTACTTTTTTGTCTACACAGCCCTGTAGGGCTTAGTGCCCGAGGGTGTGACTTACTACCTCACGAGGTGATACTGATATACTGATAATCGTAGTCCGACTATTCGCTTATGAGCGAAGCGAATAGTCGGACTACGATTACTGATACTGATTACACTGATTACATACAAATTTGGTTGAAAGGTAGGCATTTTGATGTTATGTTGGAATTATCGGATTTAAGATGCCGCAAATGGGGGTATGGTGCAAATGGGGGTAGATACGATTACTCCAGTGAACACACCGAGATGGCAAAGGCAATACAAGTATTGCGATCATAGATCCTGCAAATAACTAAAGGCTACTCCTGCGACATCGTGGCAGTCTATATTCAAGATCTCGTCCCAATCAACTTTCAGAGAGGCCTTGGGAGGTTCGGGTTCAACCATACAACGACACCATTCCGTCGCTTATGTACAATCCTTGCCATCTCCTTTGCACAGCTGGCACTTGAAGGCTTGTACCGACGACTAAAAGTCCATCTGGCCGTTGGGCCATATCGGCTTTGAGTATCGCCCCAATCGTGTCCGCTTCGGGGTGGCCTTCATTGTACAAAACAATCCCCGGGCGAAGTCTACCTACACCGTGACTTCTTTTTCCCTCCTGGAGCCGCATATGGTCAGTTTCCTCGCATTTGGGACAGAGAGGAGCTACTGCACTGTCGAAAAGTGCTGCCTTAAAGTCTTAGATCTCTTTACATTGTTGGCAATACATGTGTTTCAAGGTACCGTGTAATTGAATGGTTGGGGGCCAGGGACCTCGTCTAGCGAGAGGAGCGTTGATCCCAAGGAATGGCAGGGCAACTTCGAGACCATCGATGTTCTGAGTATACAAACGCATCAGACGGCGGTCTGGTCCACCAAGGAGACTCAAGAACTCATGGAACGGTGTCCGCCTTGCCCTCTTCGAAGCTTTGTCCAGAGCACGTACCATGGCGTGATATGCCGAAGTCGCAGCGTCATTCGCGTAGACTGATGCATTAAATGCATCTGCGCCATTGGTGGCAGAAAGGCCCGTTTTGGACCTGAAGTCTGGTACTGTCCAATGCGTTAGCAGCGTACGGCATTGGTACTCCGAGTACACTCACTCCCCGCTTGCTTCGATCTTCCAGCTCCTGCAACGACTATAAGTTTTTTTCGATCTAATAGTGCCTTCACTGTTTGCTGGAAACAGGATTTGCTAATTGCATGGGTCGTGCAGCGTTCCTATGGACAGCCAGGGGGCGAATTACTAATTCATACCCCAAAAGTATGGATCCTTACCGAATCATACCCCTACACCAAATCACACCCAAATATGGGGTATGATTCGGTAATTTGCCATTGCTTGGGGTATGATTTGGTAAGTTATCAAAGTGGCCTCAAACTACGAAGGAGATAATCCGCGATCTGGCTTATTCGATCATAGAAATAAGGGAGTTTCTCCGACCGCATTTGATGAGAATTCTATCAGCCTAAAAACATTAGACGAAAGTCGAGTGAGCGAAATTTCGAGCCCGGGGGTGTCCGCACTTCACGCTGCAGACACCCCTATTCGGGTCCCGTAGGCCCCGTAGGGGCCCGTAGAGCCCCCGAAGGAATAATTCCTAACAATACCACTACGCTGCTGAGGCTGCGCAACGGGGCGAGGCGGGGTAAGCTTCGGGGGTCAAACCCCGCCCCGTTGCGCAGCGTAAATTATACCACCGTCCGAGGCGGTCATCAATAATCAAGTCGACGACTACTTCCAGACGCTCAGTAAGCCTACCACTACCATTACCTTCATTGAACCCTCATATTTTAAGGCTACTTTGAAAACTTACCAAATCATACCCCAAGCAATGGCAAATTACCGAATCATACCCCATATTTGGGTGTGATTTGGTGTAGGGGTATGATTCGGTAATTAGGGGTATGATTCGGTAAGGATTCGTACTTTCGGGGTATGATTCGGTAATTTGCCCGACAGCCAGGCGAAGGGAGAACCGCGATACCGAAACTCCGCTCTGGGGCCTGACTCGAGCCTTACTCGCCTTCTGCGGGAGAAGTCCCACGCCAGCCATCTCAAGCGAGGGTCCCTTGCGAGTCTTCTCTGATTTCGGACTCCAGATTTTGCATTCGTCTGCCAAGGTCACGTTACCGCCCCCGGATTCATCACCTACGCCGTCTGCCCAAACAACCTGGCGCTGGAGTTCTGTGTCACTTGCGGATACTGTAGACTGGCCGGGGTTATCCAAGGATGAGAAAGCACGGCTGGAAGAAGAAGAGCTGGGGATCGAGTCTATGCAATGGCGATCAAAACTAGGGGGTGCAACGCCATTCGCGCCCCTATTTCCTTCAACGGCTGGCGTTCCGTGCTGTGTGTTAGTCGGGCCTGAGAGTTCAATGGAGCCTGTGCCCGGAGCGGCAGATGCCACCGCCAGAGCCCTGTGTTTCTTTGAGTAGGCGTAAGACTTTCCCGACATCTCGTCGCAGAATGCCGTGGTAACGAGTCTTTAGATTCTTAATCATTGAGGAACTAGAAAATTAGCATTCGGGCTAGTACCCCCCCCTACCCAAAATCGTACTGCAGATATGCCTACCATATTATCGTTCCCACAACCCTCTAAATCGTCAAGTTGAGGCTGGAATCGCTCGTATGTATAGAATACTTGGTGTTTCTTTTTTCGGGCCTCTTGTTGACGTATAGAAGGCCTCGAAGGCCTCACAATGCCGTTTCCTCCACTGTTCGATGCCTACAAGGATCGTATTCAACAGCATATCCTCAATGGGCTTGCTGTCGCCTCCGTTGTTTCCGTCGAGGGCGTTTGGAAGAGTACCATATACCGCATTATCGATAACCTCCTCGGGCGACAGTTCGCGATTTTTCCGGCTGCATGGATCGGATTAAGGGCCTTTATCGAGAGTAAGCGGTGGGCATATCAGGACGAGATGCAGTATGATCTAATTTGATCGATTCGATCTACTTGTCAGCCAGTCCATGATCTCAAAGAATCTACACTCCATGAGGATTAGCAGAAAAGGCCTTCGCCGCGAGGCCTTAGAACGCTCACAGATTTGCCGTGACGCGTACTTCCTGGAGGTTAGCAAGTTCACACATGATATGCTCGTCTTTTTGGACGAAAGCGCCGCTAATGAGCACACAATGTGGAGGAAGCGAGGCTATGCAGCCTTTGGAATTCGGCCAGCGATACAGGTTTCCGTCACACGTTCTAAGCGGCATAGCGTCCTACCGGCGTACTGCTCAGACGGTATCCTTTGCTATCATATCCATCAGGGCAGTATCGACGGTGCTCGGTTCGAGTGGTTCCTTAAGAACGAAGTCCTCCCTCGCTGCAACCCATTCCCTGGCCCAAAGTCGGTTCTCGTCATGGACAATTGCTCCACACATCATGCCGCCAACGTCAGAAGACTCTGCGAGGAGCAAGGCGTTATGATCTTGTATTTGCCCCCATATTCGCCGGATTTCAACCCTATTGAGGAGTTCTTTTCGGTCCTCAAGGCCTGGCTGAAGAGGCATTTTGAGCGGGCTAATTACCGAAATCATACCCCAAAACTATGAATCCTTACCGAATCATACCCCTAATTACTTGGGGTATGATTCGATAATTTGCCATTCATGACAAAAATCGCAAGGAGAGAAGAGGATCCGCGACCTGGGCCATCCGACCATAGAAATAAGAGGATTTCTCTAAATTTGGCCCCCCGGCCTGTCTGCACCCAGCCTATGGCTCACATACACACTCCTAACTCCACTTCTAATACCCAACACAGGCATAGACATCTAGATTACACTCTTAATAGGTAGTATAGGCATAGACACCTAGCTGCATCTACAAAGAGGCCATTCAACTAGGCCATTCAACTAGGCCACTATGGCAAGTTTGGTTAATTAATGAATCATACCCCTAGGGGTATGATTCAGTAACCAGGGGTATGATTCGGTAAGGATTCATAGTTTTGGGGTATGAATTAGTAATTAGCCCAAGCTAGTCTTATGGCGGTCCTCAGCTTCTGTCCCCGGAGGTTCTCCTGGCAACTGAAACAGTACTCCTCCAAGACTACACTTGCTAGCGTCCGTTGCTAGGTGCATCTGCAAGCTTTCATCGACTCCGCTCATTACATTCTCTGAAATGAACTTTTTCGACCCATTTCTTGCGGACCGATTCCCTATTGCCACTTTCTAGCTCCACCTCTTCCTCCTTGAGATAGGCCTTCTTCAACCTAATGACGAGCTCAGCTCTCCCGGGGATGAACATGCGTAAGAAGGGGGTGATCCAAATGATAGCATCGAGCTCCTCCCGATTGGTTGGTTCCTTCCAATGCATAGCTCTTTGGCGGTGCTTAGCAGATGGGCGTAAACCTTCTGGGCCGCCTGTGAAGCCAACCATCTCGAGAGAGTCCGTGAACAAATGTGTTTTATGGCCCGAAAGGTATACTGGTCCGAATGCTACACGCGGAAAGTACTTCTTGTGCAAGAATCGAAACATGTCATCAAAGGTCCTGGCAGACCTCACATGATCATCCATGAATAAAGTGAACGAAGCATCCCCTTGGTCTCCGATGATTGATAGTATCGGCTCCATGGTCTCCGTCTGAGGTAAAGGTCCAAACGTCAAATCGCCAAACTGGGAATACGTAGCGCAAGCCCCTTTTAATCCTTGCCCCATGCGGAGATATTTGTACTAACCATGAGGAGTAATGAACCCCGTCTTATATTGATCTCCATCCTTAATTGGGATAGCCCAATATCCATTAGCCGTATCCGTACAGAAAAAAGCTCCAAATCTTGGTTTGACGATTGTATCAATAATCTCATTGATTCTGTGACCTGGATACTGGGGTTTGATGGTATACTCGTTCAACGGGATGAGGTTGTGGACCACTCTCAGTTCAGCTGACCCTTTTTTCTTCGGTGGAAACGGACTACGTGCTCCCCAATCGCTAGCAGCCCTGGTTATGATACCTGCTTCCTCCATTTCTGGGAAGATCCTAGCAGCGAACTCCCTTTCCTTAGGGGTGTATCGCTTGATAGAAGGGTAGACCGGTCTGGCATTATCAGTGAGGTCGATAGAGTGATGCACAAGATTAGTAGGTTTGATATCTCTCATCGTCTTAGCAAAGCAATCTCTCCGGGTGTACATGAGAGCATCCTTCCGCTGCGGGGTATCTGCTCCTGCACCAATGGTGATCTCATTCTTCGCAAACCATTTGTCAACTTCAACTTGGCTAGCATCACTCATTTCACGCAATTAAGGTCTTCGTTTAGTCGGAAATTCATGCATAATCCTTAAGGACATTAATTTACTTTCGCAAATTGCTGCATCCATGCTATACTGACGCAAATCCTTTCCCGAACTCCAAGCAGCCACCATGGCAGGAACCTTGAGACGCCCTCGGTCTAGCAAAGCATCGAACAATCCCTCTCCTCGGCGCGAGCCTGTAGGATCCTCGGATGCAGCTGACGTCTTGCTAGACTCTAATTATATTCCACCAGGTTGGAGTTCACGCCAGTACACCCCCTGGTGGGTTACTGACGCTCGTCTTTTCCCTGATCTAATACGTAGTTATACCCCTCCAACTCATCTGCCAGCCGAGCAATCTCATCCTCAGCCAAAGCGATTTCCCATCCATCGACCGAGGGTCCATCAACAAGCTCAACATCAAGAGGCTTTGCTTGAGTTCCCTGCACAACCCGCTTGACCCTATCCTTGCCTCGAATGGTAATAGTGTTTTCGCCGTGGTCCTCGATAGCACGGACACATCTCATCCAGCGCTTTGAGAGAAGAATGTCAGAATGAAAGCTCTAATCACTGCTACAACTCCTGCGACGTTGACAGGGACCCATACATGTTATTGACAAGGGTGCGCAGAGTCTGTTCGGCAGGGATCTTACTTGAAGAAATTGGTCGGGTTTCAAATGGACGTGTGGGAGTGGACCGGTATCACGCACCCGGATAACAAGATCTCCGAAGAAGAAGTAACATTTTTCAGTTTGGCGATCAATTCTTGACAGTCCCGCTTGGTTGCAATCATGATATCCAAGAAAGTTTCCTCTCCAGAGGATTGGGTTGCACTGACGGCTTGCGTGCCTTCTGTATGACTCTGCCCTCGACCCTAGAAGCACTGCGGTCCGCCACCCCAGCTGTGAGAGAATTATGGCCTATACAAAAGACTGTCCGTTGAGTCTTAGCGTCGAAACCAATGCTCAGATCTCCATCATCGTGTCTTGGCTTGAGATGTAGACCCATGATCTCGACGGACTGGATTGAGACCTTCCAGCTCTCAGTCTTTTCAAAGAGCATGTAAGGATCTAAGTCAACGTCGCTAAGAAAGCGCACGCAACTATAGTATAGAAGACGTAGAGTCGTGCAACTAGATTACTCTATTGATAGTATAACTAATCACAAAAGGCTCTTTCGAGTACGGGTACCAAGCCTCTAACTCGGCCCTAAGAAGCCCTCTAGGGAAGATAGTCTTCGCTGTCCTCTGGCGTTGAAGAAGCAGGCGAAGATCTCAAACAGATCTGATTCTGGGCAGAGCCAAGTGCATCTCCAACATCGTGGGAGAGCTCCTCTTTGCGGAAGAGTTCGAGCGAGAAGTAGACGGGCTATCAAAGCTTGAGGCCGTTTTCATTGAAGTTGTCGAAGGTGTCTTTGTCAACGGTGGGGACGTGGCAGTCGGGAAGGCATCCAAGTCCGTTATCTCGATTGATGTTCCTATGATTTTGATGTGTTCTGTATCTAAAAACGGAGGGGTTCGACCTTAGAAGAGAGAGGCGTAACGTATATCTAGCTATATACGGCCCGTCAGCTGGTTCTTACAAGCCAGCTGTTTCAAAGTAAAATCAATGATACTTGATCGAAAATCCCTCCTGCCCTATTTTCGTCTCTGCTTCCAAACGGAACTTGGTAGGGAAAGTGCGAGTATCACCACAAAAGTCTTCTCAAGTAGACTTATAGAACCTGGACCACGCTTCATACCTCTACAAACACCTCGAAGTCAGAGCTTCTTCGGAGATATATTGGATATTGTGTGCATTGAGTGGTCCCATATGTATGTAGAATAGTCATTCTATTGTGATGTTCTGTGAAGGATGTAAGAAGGATGGAGGTGGACTACCTATTTATGGTGTGAAACCCACGTTAAGGCCATTTGCCACTTGTGTCATTGCCACCATGAGGGGTAGTAGTAACACCTATTGGAACTTATCAGTGTAGCCATGCTGGCCTCCTATTGGCTGATTCCAACAAGGTAAGAGTACGAAGATCTTAACGCTCTCAAAATGTGTGGAGGGAAAATATCAAATTGAAAGATCATCTCTGGAGTCACGTACAATGAAGACTAATGACTGCGGCTGTTGGGTCCTTGCCGCCTCTGAGACTAAATCATGGAGTCGGCGGCGCCTATCAGACGGGGCGTCTATGGCCTCGGGGCGTATCTGCAGAGTAGACACCCTTTCAAGACATGTTCCAAGGCACGATGATTCCAGGCTAGTCAATGTCACCATCGAGGTCCTATTGCATCACAACAATCGCATGAAGCAACATCGCTTCTTTTGTCTTATCCACCACCGTCTGCGACTCGATAACGTGGCCCAGAGACGGAATGATGCAGGATAGTGATACTTCCTCAGGGTGAACTTTGAAGGCTCATCTGACGAATTGATAACGGCTTCGTTTGAAACATGAATGAATGACATTAAGCGTTTGGTGTAGTCTTGTAAAAACTGGTGGCCATTGTTTTTGTCTCGACTCTAAATCCAAGAGGTACATTCAGGGGGAGACCAGGACGTGGGGAGGCTGGGAGAGAAAGGGTGAGGCTACCGATGTGTGTCGGGCCGTCGGCCATGTCATCAGTAGGTCTGAGCGCCGATGCAGAGGTATTCAGTACTGACCTACCCGTTTGAGGTACTCCTTGCTCGTCAGACCCAGTTTCACGATTCTGATCTGTACTTTGTGGTGCATAAGATTCGCTTATACTAACAAGCATGGCGTTTCCAACCTCCCGAGCCTAACGTTCCTCAGCTTCTCTCGTAGCAAGTACTTCCTGATGTAGCTGCAACGGCGTTTCATACAGTGTCGCGGTAGTCGAAGGAAGTAAAGGAAGCAGGGAGTGATGCCGGTGCCTTTCCGGTCTTGGGATCTATGAAGACCAGACGATTCGAACCTGGTGCGCGTCCCTCACGACGACATTTGTGGATTCTGTTCTGGACTGACAACCTGTAACTACATTTTGGAGCCTGGCCATCCACTGGATCAGCATTCATTGTTGCCCAGTTATTCGACTTTCTCTTCTTTGGCTCCGCATTCCATGCAGCAGTAACATCACCCGTCACGCTCGACTTTTTCTATTCAGTTTGTCTGAGTTTGGGCTTTAATTTCGAAGAACTTAGACGAGTTGGTCCACTTCCTATGTTCTTGCTGTTGCAGACCAAGGCTATCTCGATTGCCACGCGTCTGAAAGATCCAATCCTGGCTCTGGGAACAAGGCTGCATCCTTCAACTTTTGTAGCACGTCCTTGGGAAGGGCATCATCGTAGTAGAAAGCTGACGATATTGGCGTTCCTTGAGTCCAGCGCGGTTTTGGCGTTTTAGCGAAGCACTAGCCTTACTAGTGGAGCCGAAAGCCACTGAAGCTGTAGGAGATTCCACGGGACCTGAAGCACTTGTTTTTGCACTTGCTTTCGCCATAACTTCGACAAGAAGAGGTCAATACAAGGGCTATTTTCTGGTAGCAGGTGTAATGACTGGTGACCGTTCTCAATATCTTTGAATGGCGAGCAATGTCGAAAGGATTTTTGTGCCGGCTTGTCGAACAGAGACCAAGGAATATATCCGTAGTCTCTTTGGCAAGTCAACTTTGGTTCGTTCCGTTCTTCTCGGATGAGGTTCCACACTCTTTGGTTGACGGTTTACTTCAGGCATAGAAATGAATTTGGAAGACTTGATTTTGGAAGACTCTCTTGCACGAGGTCCGTCTTTCGGTGTTCTTCCTCAGAGCGAACTATCCCTGCTACTTTTTTGTACTTCGGCTATCCCTTTGCGTAGAGAACCGCCTTTGTTAGGCGAGATCTAGTTTGCGCAGCTTTCGGAGTTTCTTTGAGGTTTTTCTTTGCAAAAGCTACTTGGGCTTCCCGAACAGGTGCTTGAGAAGCCTGGGAAGCTTTCGGCTTACTGCCCGACGTTTTCTTTGCAATGTTTGCTTCTTTTACCAATCCACTCGTAGAGTTCAAGATTTCTGTCGAGTCGGTGGTCGGGTGTGGTCGACTATTCTATCGATTCCTTACTTCCTGGATCCGTAATTCTTCCATCGTGCAGTGCTATGCTTTGACCCCTGCTTTCGGAGTAGAAATTCGACGTGCGGTCCCTGATCCTTTACTGGAAGCTGATTCCAAGCAAGGCTTCAGGTATTCGGGGGCCTCTCTGCCGCTGTCGACAATATTTTTGGCGTACGCTTTTTGCTTCGTCATAGTACTTGGCTTGTTGTGCCGTTACGCCCGTACGGGCCTTGGAAATTACCCCAGCGAGGGTCTTTAGAGTTCGAAGACTGACGCTTGTCGAAATATCAGAGGTCTGTCACTGTC